GAAAGAGGGAGGAGGAGAATGAGGCCTTGGAAGGGCATTTCTCGGGAGCTACAATACACAGTGGCTGTGATCTTCTCCCCTGGCCACTCTTTCAAGCAGAGCAGCCGGCCGAGAACAGGCCGCTGATTGAAAACAAGTGACTGGAGGACATCAGCACTGACATGAGCCCGGAGGGTGGGCTGCCCTGGCCCCGGCACTCTCGGATGGCGCCTTAGCAGCGTACATGCTGCCAGCTTCGAACATTCTCATACAGACAAGTTCGAAGCCAGGTCCTCTGCACTGTGTGCGCACGTGTCCTCTCTCTCTTCTCTCTTCTTTCTGTGTCGTTTTCTTTTGTTCTCCACTCGTTAGTCCAACACTGTTCCCATCCTTGGAAGCCTCCCCTAAGCCTGTCCCTGCTGAGGCCTCTAGGTTTTCTCTCCACTACGCTGGATGCCGTGTGGGTGCGCTCACTACACTGGATGCCGTGTGGGTGCGCTCATTCTTAACGGCAGGATTTGGTATGCAAGTTAGAGGACACCATCCCTAGCATATCCCCCTTTTCCACCTCCCCAAAGCCCTCATTGCCTATCCCTAGTTGATGCCCACCCACACTTTCTCTTCATCCCCTAATCCCCACCTCCCACTCACCCACTTTCCCAAGTTGAGAAGGCTCTCAGAGAAGGGTTCTTGGCTTAGTACCGACACTTACAAGAATCGGGCTGAAGCAACAGGTTCAGCCTCTAGACCAGCGGTTCTCAACCTGTGGGTCGCGACCCCTTTGGTGGTCGAACAACCCTTTCATAGGGGTCGCCTAAGACCATCCTGCATATCAGATATTTACATGACGATTCACAACAGTAACAACATTACAGTGATGAAGTAGCAACGAAAATAATTTTATGGTTGGGTCACAACATGAGGAACTGTATTTAAAGGGCCAGAAGGTTGAGAACCACTGCTCTAGACTGAGCAAGGAGAATAGCAAACCAGAGTGTTGCCCGGTTCCAGTGCTGTTGTCTCCTAAACATGCCAACACAGGGATTTAAAGAGCAATGTTAGTGCATGAAGAGGCCACAGACAGGGTGGGGGAAGCAGGGCACTCACACGGCCTGTGAAGCGCTTTCTAGGTCTGGTTTCTCTTCTGCCCTGTGCTGACTCATTGATCCATGCCTCCTGCCCTCTTGTTCCATCACCACCACCAGTACCTGTTTTGATAGAAGTGTCTAATGGGGCAATAACTACTCCTCGAGGGTGGCAGCCACAGTGGCCTAATCCAGCTAATAAAAAACAGATGCTGTTAGCCCGGCCAGTGTGGCTTAGTGGTTGAGCATTGACCTGTGAACCAGGAATTCATGGTTTGATTCTCAGTCAGGGCACATGCCCGGGTTTCGGGCTTGATTCCCAGTAAGGGGCATGCAGGAGATGGCTAATCAGTGATTCTCTCTCATATTGATGTTTCTATCTCTCTCTCCCTCTCTAAAGTCAATAAAAATATATATTTTTTTTAAAAAAAAACAGATGTTGTGAGGGACCATTATGGACATGCTTTTGTTTATTTGTTTTTAATCCTCACCCAAGGATATATTTTTCATTGATTTTAGAGAGAGGAAGGGGGAGAGAGAGACATTGAAGTGAGAGAGAAATATCCATTAGTTGCCTACCTTGCATGCCCTGACTGATGATCGAACCCACAACCTGGGTATGTGCCCAGACCAGGATTCGAACCCACCACCTTTCAGTGTAAAGGACATTCCAACGGAGTCACACCAGCTAGGACTGGTACTGTTTTAACCTCAGAAATTTGAGGATAATCCAAACACTTCCATAAGAAGAGATGTAGACCTTTTCAGTTATTTTATACCTATAAGTATACGGCAGATGATAATTCAGCTTCATCCACTGGATATTCGCCTGGAACCCATGCTACAGCAGGCACTCTGTGGGGGATGTGTAAAATTCAATAGCACGTGGTCCTTGACCTCAGAAAGTTCACAGTCCATAGGGATAGACAGACATTTTATATCCCAGTGGGAGGAATGTCAAAGCAACAACAAATGTTGTTAAGAGACAATGAGGTCTTAAGCCCCATGTTTTCTGCATGGCATTGCACACACGCTCACTCACAGAAAATGATGCCCATCGCATTGAGTTACTTCCAAAACCTCCTAAGTTTTCTCATATCTGATGGACCTATGCTTTTTCAGGGTTGTGAAGTGATAATTTCCTTAACCATGCATCCCCCTATTGATGACTTTTTTTAATTGAACCTACTGTTTATTTTAAATTCTCCCAAATTAAAATCCAGTCCCTCAGCAGTCCCTGTAGAATGTGACCACCACTCCTACTTCCATCTTTCTCTGGGTTCTGAGGGCCACAGGACTGCTCTCTGCTTCCCTCTGGAGGACCCTCATTATAAAAGTGCACAGGTTAAGCATTCAAATGAAGTACCAAACACTGAAGCTACATGCACTTTGTCAGCAGGTGGGGAACTCATTTGGAAGTGGCCCAGGAGTCAGTGCTGGGACCATAATTTTCCTGTACTTGGCCACTGTTTGGGTTATAGATTCAAAGAAAGGAAGGTGTACAATAGAACATGCAGGGCCTGGCAATAGGGACTTGTCATCATGCACATATAATCACTCCTGCTTCTGTTCCCACCAGAACTCCTGATCCAATCATGAGAGCTGACCATGAGGCTCCACAATGAGCCCCTCATAACATTCCCCCATTGTCAGAATTAAAGTACAAAATTTACACTTTCTAGATTTCTAGTCATATGCCATAGCTGCCAACTCCTAGGAGGCCCCATTGTTGAACTACATTCAGTCCAG